AGAGCCCTGGGTCCAAAGGAGCTGACCAAGCCCTCAGGGAACTCACCCCTCACCGGGTCACTGTGGACCCTGGGCCCCTGGAGCCCGGGCCGGCCGGGCCTGGGCTCAGAGGCGCCTACGGATGTTGGAGGAATGGAGCCAGCCCGACAGCCAATACCCCGGGTGGGCTGGGTTGCGTCCCCACACCCAGCCGCCACGACCCGAGCCCAGTGCGCCCTCTGGTAGGCCGGCCCCAGGCCAAGGGTTCGGCTCCCAACAGCGGACAGTCTCGTGCGCGGCCTCGCCGCCAGCGCGCGCCCCCGCCCGCGCGCCCCCGCTATCAAAACATTCGGGCGGCGAGCCTCCGCCCCGCCCGCGGCGCCCCTTCCCCCGTTAGCAGCTGCGAGCTCACTTAGGGCTCCGCGGGCAGCCCCGGCAGGCCCGGCCCAGGCCCTGGGATTCCAGTAGCTCGTCTCGCGTCTCCCCTCAGGAACGGTGACCTCGCTGATTCCAGGGGTTCCGTCGGCTCCGCTGGGCTCGGCCGGACCGAGCACTAGGCCGGGCGTCTGCCAGTCACTGTCACCCGCAGCTAGCCTGGCCAATGAGCAGAGGAGGTGGAGACAAGACGGCCAATTCTTGGCGTCGGGGGCGGGACTAAGGGCTGGAGGCGGGTCTTGGACAGCCAGAGGACCAATAGTACGCACTACGTGGGGTGGGGGCTCAGGTGCCGGCGACGCCGTTTGTCCTCTTTGCTGCTCCGTAGTGACGAGGTTGTTGTGGTGTTGCAGAAATCCCGGCTTCGAACTGTAGGCGTAAGCGCTGCTCGGCACCCCGGGACCTTTGGTGCAGCTTCCGAGGCGGAGGCGCGTCCACGCGGTATAGTCATTGCCGGAGCCCATCGCACGGGTAACGAGGAGCGGTCGTTTAGGGAACCTCAGTGATTTAAACTCTGTGGGACTCGATTAGGAAGCTGGATGCTCCCCATTTCACTCTTGTGTGGTCCGAAACTGGACGTTTGACAAAGCGGGCTGGGATCTCGGATTAACCCAGAGCAGACTCCTGGTGCCAGGGTGTCTTGCGGCGTGGGGGAGACCAAGTCAGGCAGGCAGGAGACGCGGCAGTAGGACCTCGCTTCTGGGAGCTCTGTTTCTTCCCTCCTTTCTGCTCCAGAAGCTGCTTCTAAGTAATTTCTGCTCAGCCATGTCTCCGGCTTCAGCTGCAGCCCAGCCTCCTGCGTCGGTCTCCCTGTTTGACCTGAGCATGGATGCTCCGATCCTTCAGGGCCTGAGCCTAGTGAGCCACGCTCCCGGGGAGGCCCTAGCCCAGGCTCTGCGGACTTCCTGTCCAGGTACCCGGGGAGGCTTGGTGTGGGCCCATGAGGAACATGACGGGGCTCTTTGGAGCTTATTGCTCTTCTAGGGAACACATTCTTATTGGTATTCCCCAGCTTAGGAGCCCTTGTTGACATGTCTTTCTACTGGATAACATTTATCTTAAATTCAGTTTCTGGGTTGTTCCCAGCACAGGCCCCTGAATTGTCTCCAAACAAGTTTCTTGCCATTGCTTATGTCTCGTCACATTACACCAGGGCTTGCAAAAGCACTTCAAAATTCCTAGATATATTTTCAAAATTCCTAGATATAAGTCTGAAATTAACTGGATTCCAATCAAATCATTCCTTCTTGCTGAATATAAAACAATTTCTTACTGATTTTGTACAACTTTAATTTGTCTCTGGCTATGTTGTTTTTGTACTTTTTGAATACCAACTGCACACTGTGATTGGAAATGTAGGCTGAAAAGCTGGTATTTGGGAAGTGGTTTTTGCAGTTAAAAATAATTTTAACTTCACCAAAAAATATTTTCTACAGGATTCCTTTAAACAGTCCCTTTGGTTAATTTAAATACGTTTGATTTATATTCATTTTATGTACTTTTCAGAAGCATATTTATTGTACACAGTGACTGCTTGCCATTTTCTTCATGATTGCTAGATTATAAATTCCTTGAAGGCAAAGACATGCCATCTCTTCCTTTTGTATTCTCTGCTTTGTGTGTCAGACACTGAGTGTGATTCTGGTACTGTGGATTTCGACTTCCCTTCGATCTCTCAGTCTCCTCCCCTTATTTAGGCTCAAAGGAGAGAGGAAGCCCAGAAAAAAAATCACTCCAGGGTCCTCTGGATATTTCAGAGAAATTATTTTGTTCAACCTGTGAGCAGACCTTCCAGAACCACCAGGAACAGGTAAAAGACCAGGTGCAGGGCTAAATGGTGGAAGCAAAAGTAGAATGGTGGCTGAGGAGAGGTAGGCATTTGATTTGTCTGTAATTAATAAAGGTCCATGTTTTGATTAAGGCACTTAGTGTTACCCGGTCGTTCTTCCTGGTGTTCTGTTACTGGTCTTGGGTATCACAAAAGGCCAGGCTGGGCATATTTCCACTCCCTCTTTTCCTCCTACTAGAGGGAACATTATAAGCTTGACTGGCATCGGTTTAACCTAAAGCAACGTCTCAAGGACAAGCCTCTCCTGTCTGCCCTGGACTTTGAAAAGCAGAGTTCCACAGGTGATGACTGGTGGGAGACCTGTGTGGGAGTGGGACATGGGGGTGGAGGAAGGCCCCAGTGTAGGAACTTGAGGAGAGGTCAAAGATAGGCCACCAAACTTGTGTGTCACATGTTGTTCTCAGGAGATCTTTCCAGCATCTCAGGATCAGAAGACTCAGACTCAGCCAGTGAGGAGGACTTGCAGATACTAGCGGAAGAGAGGGCTGACTTTGAGAAGCCTAACAGACCCGGAGGCTTCCACCCGCATCGGATTCTTTTCCAAAATGCCCAGGGACAGTTTCTTTATGCCTATCGTTGTGTCCTAGGTCCTCGCCAGGCAAGTGATAGCACAGGTTGTGTGGGGAACTCCAGCCTTTTATACACTCGTTCTAGATTTCCCTGTAGCCTAGTCCATTTTTCACTCCTTCCCTTCCTTCCTGTTGGGTATGAGTATCAAACACCTGACAGGAGTTTTGGATTGAACTGGCCTGAATCCTGGAAAGATCAAGTGTAGTAATGGAATTAAGTTTGGAAACAGACCGATCTAGGTTTGAATTGTGGTTCTGTCACTTGATCTTGACTGCTTCTATGAGCCTCAAATTTCCTTATTTGTAAAATGGAGACGAGCTTCAGAGTGGTTATATTAAATGAGAGAACGCATGTGAAGCTCAGCACTGGCACTTGGTTTCTTGCTCTCAGTGGATGCCACAGATATGATATCTGTGCTGCTCCTCTGTCGTCCAGGTGCCCCCAGAAGAACCAGAACTGCTGCTACAGAACCTGCAAAGTGGAGGTCCTAGATCCTGCGTGGTGCTCATGGCTGCAGCTGGGCACTTTGCTGGTGCCATTTTCAAAGGGTGAGAGGGTGCTGCGTGGGGTGAGGATGGAGTGGATCCTGTTAGCCTGGGAGTACCAGCTGGTTTCCAGTACTGAGTCTGTGCTGTCTACAGAAGAGAAGTGGTGACACACAAAACCTTCCACCGCTACACAGTGCGGGCCAAGCGGGGCACGGCCCAGGGGCTTCGGGATGCCCGGGGTGGGGCTTCGCGCTCTGCTGGAGCCAACCTGAGGCGCTACAATGAAGCCACACTATATAAGGTGAGTTAGGTGTGCCAGATTGGGTGGTTCTCGAAGCCACACTTTTTTCTTTCTCAACTCATGAAATGTTCCAGTAGGGAGGTTGACTCCTATATCCTTCCAGTCTTCATTATTTCTGGGTAGACAAAGGTAGAATAGGAATGGATCCTCAGCAGTCTTAGTTCTCTCATTCTTCCTCCCTCTTATCTTCTACCTCTCCCTACACATGAACTCTGGGCCATTTTTTGGTTGGAGATTTAATAGCAACTGAAGATATGCAGGGCTGAGTTACTCTCTTCTCTAGGATGTTCGTGACCTGCTGGCAGGGCCAGACTGGGCTAAGGCACTGGGGGAGGCTGGGACAGTACTGCTGCGTGCCCCTCGCTCTGGCCGGTCCTTGTTCTTCGGAGGCCACGGGGCACCCCTGGAACGGGGGGATCCCCGACTTTGGGATATCCCCCTCGCTACCCGCAGACCCACCTTCCGAGAGCTACAGCGTGTGCTCCATAAGCTGACCACCTTGCATGTTTATGGTGAGTGTTTGGTCCTGATCCTCAGACTCCCAAGACCTTCCTGTACCTTCCAGCCCAAGCCTCAGGTTGTCACTTGTGCATCCAGATAATTTTCTAGCCCTTAGACTACAGCCTGATAGCATCTTCATTGAGAGAAACCTGGACTGGCTTCTCCTCAGCTAAACTTGAGAAACATCTTGTTTTCTGGCAGGAGAAGACCCCCGAGAGACAGTAAGGTTGGACTTAACTCAGACACACTGGAAGACAACGAAAGAGAAGAAGAAGGCTATTGAGGAAGAAAGAAAGGTCCCCAGTGATGAAAATGAGGCAGCTGGGCAGAATGAGGACGCTCCCAAACAAGGTTTGAGCACCATCTGGCAATTGTCAAATTTCTATCTGGGTCTGTCCTGGAAATGCAGTGGCAAATTCCCTACTCTCATAACTGACCCACTTCCCTATTTCTAGATGAGCTCTTACACAACACACACACACAGGTCTGTTAATAATGTGGGGTACGGGGTACCAGTTACTGAGACATGTTTAGTGACCTTTCCAAATCTCCTGTTACCTCTTTTGGTCATTGCTGTATCCCTAGTGCTTAGAAAAGTCTTAGCGTGAGTCTCACATAGTTTACCTGTCTTACTAGATGCTGTGCTTTTGGGCTAAGGGCTGTTTCCCTGGCTTCAGACATTTGGCCCGCATGACTGTCCTGCTCCCCTGCTTTCCTCTGTTGAGCACCATCCTGAGGCTGCTCACGGGGAATGCCCAGAGACTTGTCTCTGCTTAGCTCCTTCTGGGCCTGGGCTGAGAGCCTCATTTCTGCATATGATACCAGTGGCTTCACCTCTTGACGTGCTGTTTTATCTTGGGTGACAAAATACAAACAATTTCATTTCAAGACAATCTGGATTATCTCTTTATGTACATTCTTAAGCATCTGGGCAGCCTCTGCTTATTCATTAGATGAATCTAACATGTCAAATTTTTTCCTAGGTTCAGGGTCAGAGGGGGAGGACAGCTTCGACGTAGAGTTGGAGCTAGTAGAGTTGACACTGGCGACCCTGGATCTTCGTGAGTTTGATGTATTACCTAAGCAGAAGAGGAGAAAAAGGAACAAGAAGGAGAGAAGCCGAGACCTGGAGGCTGGGGCACTTAAGACTCTTCCCCAGCAACCTCTAGAAGATGAGGCCTCACAGTCAGCCCAGGCACATGCAGCCCCTTTGGGGCCTTCCCTGGATGAGGTCAAGGCCCGTGGTCAGCCAGAGCTCTGGGACTTGCTTCTAGCTGCCTGCCGAGCCGGAGATGTTGGAATGCTGAAGCTCCAGCTAGCTGCCAGCCCTGTAGACCCTGGAGTTCTGTCTCTGCTCAGTGCCCCCTTGGGCTCCAGTGGCTTCACCCTCCTGCATGCAGCAGCCGCAGCTGGGAGAGGTTCAGTGGTTCGCTTGCTGCTGGAGGCAGGTGCTGACCCCACTGTGCTGTAAGTAAGGGTCCTCATGCCGATCCCTTGTGGGGTAGAGAGAGGATGATCTGGAGGCTAATGTTGGCACTGGCTACTTGAAAGGATTCCCCTTGGTCTGGTTGGGTGATGTTGGGAGATGCAGGAGGCAGGTTGAAACCATTTTTTTGGGTTTTCGCACCTAGGGACTCCCAGGCCCGGCCACCATATACAGTTGCAGCTGACAGATCAACACGTAATGAGTTCCGAAGGTTCATGGAGAAGAATCCAGACGCTTATGATTACAACAAGGCTCAGGTCAGCTGGAAAAGGAAGAAGCAGAGTGGGAAGGCATCATAGATCCTGGCTAGATCGTTTCTACTTTCTTACAGTTTTACTAAGGATAGTGTGTATAGGTCTTACCTTACACTTTCCCGGGACTCCTCCAGGTGCCAGGGCCACTGACACCAGAAATGGAGGCACGGCAGGTGATGCGGAAAAGGGAGCAGAAGGCAGCCCGGCGGCAGCGAGAGGAACAGCAGAGGAAGCAGCGGGAGCAGGAGATGAGGGAGCAAGAAGAGCGGCGGCGCTTTGCCGCCCTCAGTGACCGAGAGAAGGTGAGGCTGCAGGCTCTCTCTTCCACAGCAAGACTTCCTTAGAGGTCTGCCCCTTCCCCAGTGTGCAGCCGTCACTTCTTGGGTACCCTCTCCACCACTGGGGCCTTGACCTTAACACAGCTTCTCTTCCCGTCAGAGAGCTCTGGCTGCAGAGCGCCGACTAGCTGCCCAGTTGGGAGCCCCTGGCCCTCAGATCCCTGACCCTGCAATCGTCAGTGTTCGGTATGTTGAGGGGGCAGGTGTGAGCGGGTAGACTGTAATGTCGTAGGGACCATTTGAGGCAAGTAGAATGAGAGCCTACACAGTACTCAGGAAGGCTTGTTGAGGGGATTTGAGATGTTCTGGGAACCTTTGGAGGGAAAACAGAAATGGCAGGAGGAGGGGTGGGGAGAGCTTGGATTGGAAAGTTTCTGGGGTACCTGGCCAGCCATTTTTCTTCCTCTTGTTCAGACGCTGCTGGAGCTGTGGGACCTCCCTCCAAGGCCTCATTCCCTTTCATTACCTCGACTTCTCTTTCTGCTCCACACGCTGCCTCCAGGATCATCGCCGTCAGGCTGGGAAGCCGTCTTCCTGAACTCTTACAGCTCTGTCTGGGGCCAGCTGTAGGCCCTGAGCAGGCACATTCACACTGGCCCTAGGTTTCTTCCTCCCCTCGAAACCAGAGAGTAGTATTTGGAAGACTAGGGAGAGGGCCATTCAGGAACCAGGGCAAAGACAGGGCCACAGAGGTATGTGGAGGTGCTACTGTCTCTGGAACTTTAATCACAATAAAGTTTGGCAAGGAAACTGCCCTTGTACTTACATTCAGGCCTGTGGCCTGTGGTTCCGTGTGGTCACTTTAGCCAGCACCAAGGGATCCTGCCCAGTCTGTGTCCCAGATCCAAGGGTTACCTCTCCCTCAGTGCCCACTTAGCTGCATTGGCTCAGGGTCACTTTGTACCTCAGCTGAGAGGGAATAGACATATGTCCTGTGCAAGGTGCTGTTGAGGATGGGCCTGTCCAGGAACTGGACTTGGGGCTGGGGCGGCGCATTTTCCAGCTCCAGCAATGTGATTTTGTTGAGGGCTCCCCTAGGATACAGCAGGGGTCTTGGCACGTAGAGGGTCTGTTGCGGCCCCCGCTTTGTCCAGTAGCGGCCCAAGTTAAACCCATTGATCCAGACTTGGCCCTGGGGAAGAGGGAGGAGAGAGGAAAATAAAGGGTCAGCTCTCGGGGGCAGAATTATCCCGTTTGGTTTCTAATCAGGAATAATCAGCCTCCTACAGGATTTTCCTCTCTTCCCACGCCACCCCCCACCCCAACCAGCATAGTCAGCAATACCTTGGTCCATCCAGGTAGATAGAGAAATGTGTCTCCACTTGAGCCTAAAATTGCAAACATTGTGGAGTAGAAGGTGGGGCCAGAGGGAGTTTGAGGATGTGACCTTTTCAGCAGCTGGAGGGGAAACCACCACTTTACAAGCTTATCAACTTTCAGAGGGAACATCAGCCACCTGGTAAGGATTGTTTGCCCCAGAACTGGTGGCTCTATGAGGCCCTGTGGAGAAGGCAAATGAGCATTCATCATTCACTAAGCTCTAAGTCTAGACTGTCTTTAAGCAAGCCCTGGGGTGCAGCTAGTGGCCATGTCTAGATGCCACAAGCCACTACTTTGTTACCTAACCCCTAAGGACATGACTCTTATTTATCTTTCATTAGACTCCTATCTTTCCAAGGGAGTTTGGCCAGTAAGAGCATGGGTGCAAGGGGGCTAGCAGAACTAGCTTACCTTGAAGTCACTGGTATTCGACCCGAAACTGAGCCTCCCCATGCTCTCCAGCAAGACATCCAGTTTGGCCCCCACTTGCCCGGTCAAAAATAGTTTGTGTTTCATGTTTCGTTCCAAAACACCATGAAACACCTGTGGATAAGAGTATCTATGAGAGGCAGGACCCAGCATCTAGCTTGTGGCCACCACACAGGAAGCCAGGTTAGGATGCTTATTTGGAGGGCAAAGAGATTGTAGCCCTTCTGTCAGTTAGTCATACATTCTGGAACCTTATCCTTAGTTGAACCTTTCCTCATCCCAGCTTATCCCTGGACCCCTTGCAAATGTGAGCAGGCAATGGGAAAAGGTAGATATGGGGTCTTAAGGCTCAAGGGTGCTAGGCAGGAGAGGAAACTGGGGCTTACCCCATCCACCATCACGTAGGCACGGTCATGGACTCCATTGTTTGGCACCCAGAATCGTGTTGGCTCAGAAACAGTATTGCTCAGATAGGTCCGATACAACACAAAGCCATGGTCCTGGGTGGGGTAGAATGAGTAACTTAAGACAGACTGAGAGAGAAGAAAGCTGCTGTGCGGAAGATGCTGAGCTGAGGGAACCTGTGGCTACAGCTGTTGAAGAAGGTTGCCATACTCACAAGATGTGAGGTTATGCCTTACCTGCTTGACAGCCTCAAAGGTCATTGGCAAGATTGAATAGATGGGCCCTTGGGGGCATAGGTAGTTTAGGAAAGCCAGCAAATCCCCATCCTATTAGAATAAGGGAGAAGTATCAGAATTGAGGGCAGGACAGGCTGGGCTATTTAGAGAATAAAAGGAGTAGAATCAGAGAAAAGATGGGGAGGAGCTTACCAGGTGCAGTGTCAAAGGTCCGAGCATCATCTTGGGGCTGGGGGGAGGTAAAGGTCCCAAGGGAATTTCCTGGAACTGAGCCCAAATTCTCTCAGGAGCCATAAGAAAACCAAATGAACAACCCCTATTCCAAGATCCTAGCTCAGGGTTCTTAACCTGGGTTCCAGGTAAAAGCTTCAGGGGATGCTGAAGATCCAGTCATTTTGTATATAACTTGTGTGTATCTCCCCAGGTACTCCCATTTGGGAGGGTGAGAAATGCTTCCATGGGATGCTTGGAGAGCTCTGTGGCCCCAACCACCACCACTGATTTATGGGATCCCTTTACAAACAGTTTGGGCACTCCCTTCCCCAAAATTAATAAAAGCCTTTGGCGCTTAGTCAAGTGGTAGGGCACCTTGCTGATGACATCTCGAAGAGCAAAAAGCTTAGGTGTGGGGTCCCCGGCTTCAGATATGGGTGCATCATAGTCATAGCTGGTGGTAATTGGAAGAAAGCGTCCCTTCTCATCAGCACCTGGGGTCAAACCAATTTAATTAATTCAATATATCTTTTGGATGACAGACACTAAGCAAAGAAATTCATACAGAGAATTCTGCCATCAGAGGGAGCAGTGGTGGCCATATCCAGCTTCTAGACATCCTAATCTACCAGCTCTCAAATTCTGATTCTTGCTACTTCCCTGCTTCCACCCCAGGGACTATCTGGACTCACCATTCCAGTATCCAAAGTTGGTACCTCCATGGAACATGTACCTGAAGTGGGGGAGGGTGGGAGGAAAGGTAATAGCTGACCCACTGAATCTTAAGTTTCATCCCCAACACCCAGTTAACAGATTCATGTTGGCCCCAGTGTCTCCAGTTACATGTTCACACTGGCTCCCAACTTCAGCATGTTCTCTAGTCCATTGGTTACAGAATGAACGGACCGTGTGGAGTGATTCTGGCCCCAGTAATCCAGCCAGCCTGTGTAGTACTCAGAGTTCACCTAGCGTGTAAAGTGAAAGGAACCGTGAGTGAGATGGGAGGTGAGCATGACCCATCCCAATCCTGCCTCTCGCTTTGATTGCCCTCCCTCTGGCTCCTCACCAGTGGCCCATGGGGTTCATACTTCCGAAGCAGGGTAAAGATTTTGGTCATGTTGTCAGCTGCAGAGAGGAGGCAAAGGTGAAAGATAAACATCATAGCAGAGGGGCCTCCTCCCCAACTCCACTCCTCACCCTTGCTCAGGAGACCTGGGCCAAAGTCTACAGTGGTATAGAGTCCCTCGAGGGAGCCACATTTGAGTCCCTCAGGCCCATCTGTGGTGAAGAGCAAGATCTCGTCTCCTAGTATTGCACGGAAGAGCCCAGCCAGGTGCCTCATGTAGTTGAAGTCACAGGCCCGGTAGCTACCATATTCATTTTCCACCTGCCAGGGGACAGGAGAAGCGGAGCTCAGCTATGAGGTGGAGAAGGTTCAGGACCCCGGCTCCTCCTTTCCCTTGCCCAGTCAACTTTCCACTTGTACCTGAATGCTGATGATGTTGCCCCCATTGTGATAGAGCCATGGATGTATCTTGGGCAGCAAGACCTTGAACCAGGAGTCCACTGCAGCAAGGAAGTCTAAAGGAAGGAGCAGTGCTCTGCTCATTAGGGTACCACCACCTCCGGAGCCCCCACCGCAAGCATCAGTGCTAGCAGTTTCAGTGCTGCCTGAACTCAGGGCTGCAGTTTGCATCCAACTTGTCCCCAACTAAATCTGGGAGCAGTTACTCTTGTCAGAAGAAACTCTCAACCCTAAGCACTTATATTTTTGCACGGCAATGAAATTGGAGCATAGGAAACCTTAAAGTTGTATTTCTTGTAAATTTATTTTTTAAATGTAAGAAAAATGTTAAGTACATCATATAGAGCTATTATTAGATAATCAATAAATACTTGAGATTGTGCTGAAGTAGCCTGGGAATTCAGAGAAATGTAGAATGTCTCACCTGTACCCTGCTATAACTGACAGTCCAGATGACTGAAGCTGTCAAGTGAAAGATTATTATAACAGGTATTGTGCCTTAAATTCTCAACTCCTATTTGTGATTTTTTTTTTTTGAGGAAGATTAGCCCTGAGCTAACTACTGCCAATCCTCCTCTTTTTGCTGAGGAAGACTGGCCCTGAGCTCACATCCGTGCCCATCTTCCTCTACTTTACACGTGGGATGCCTACCACAGCATGACGTGCCAAGCGGTGCCATGTCCGCACCCGGGATCCGAACTGGCGAACCCCGGGCCGCCAAGAAGTGGATCATGCGAACTTAACCTCTGCGCCACCAGGCTGGCCCCCCTATTTGTGATTTTTGTGGATTCACCCTCAGGGTCTTCCTGCAAGTTACTACCTCTGCCTGACACTGTCTCCCTGCCCTCCTTCCTGGCCAACTCCAACTCAGGTGTCAGGTCTTAACTCGTATTTCACTTCCTCGAGAACACCTTTGCTATTCCAGATTAGGGTAGATCCCCCTGTTACACACTCTCGCATCACCTCATACTCCTCTTTCAAGCACTTGACAGATTACAATGAAGCATTTCTTTCTGTAATTGCTTCCTGCTGGTCTCCCCCACCAGTGAGCAGGAAGCTTGTCTGTCAGGTTCACTTGCTACATCGCTATCACTGAGGACGATGCCTAGCAGAGAGCAGCCTCTCCAAGGCGAGTTCAGTGAAAGATATTTTGGAGGATATTTTCATATTCTTAAAACATTTAATTCTTTTACATTTTGTGTTCTGTATAAAGGAGGCCTAGGTTTTATTGCCTCCTTTAATCCAAGCATACATTAAATCTCATTCAGCAAATATCTATGGTTGCTGACCATGCACCAAGCACTGTTCCAGGTGTTAGGGATACAAAATAGAACAAAACAGACAAAAATCTCTGCCATCATGGAATTTCCTTTCCAGTGAGGGAGGCAGATGATAAATTAAATAAAGATGGTGAGTTAATGCCAAGGAGACAAATAAAGCTGGGAAGGAAGATATAAACTGGTGGGTAGGGGAGCTTAAATTTTAGAGCATGGCCCAGGGAACGCCTCCTGGAGAAGGAGATTCTGCAGGAAGACAGAGGGAGCACCTCATGCAAAGCAGGAATGTGCCTGGTGGGTTTGAAGAACAGCAATGAGGCCAGTGAACAATGAGGAGGAGAACAGATGTCAGGGAGGTGACCGGCCAAGTGGGAGGACTTAGTAGACCATTTTAAGGAATCCATGGTTCATATTCTGAATGAGAACCTTTTGCAGAGGTTTAAGCAGAGAAATGACATGATCTGAGATATATATAATTAAACTTCTATTTTAACAGGATCCCCCTGGCCGCTGTATTGAGAATAGACTACATGGGCGAGGGGCAAAGAAGGGCAACCAGTTGGGAAACTATTAAAATAATCTGGCCAACGGGCTGGCCCGGGTGCATAGTGGTTTAAGTTCACGCCCTCCACTTCAGTGGCCCGAGGCTCGCAGGTTTGGATCCTGGGTGCGGACCTACACACCACTCATCAAGCCATGCTATGGCAGCATCCTACATACAAAATAGAGGAAGACTGGCACAGGTGTTAGCTCAGGGCGAATCTTACTCACCAAAAAATAAATAAATAATAATCCAGCTGAGAGGTGGTTTGGACCAGGAAGGTGGCAGCGGGGGTGATGAAAAGTAGTTGAATTCAAAATATTTTGAGGGTAAAGCTGACAGGATTTTCTGATAGAATGAATATGGGGTGTGAAAGGCATGAAACATACCATAGTGTTTAGCCTGATGAGTTGGAAAATGGAGTTGCCATTAACTGACATGGGGAGATTGCAGGAATTGCTGATTTGGGAGGCAATACCAGGAGTTTAGCTATATCACTATGCCCTTTATTTATTTATTTATTTTTATTTATTTATTTGGTGAAGAAGACTGGCCCTGAGCTAACATCTGTGCCAATCTTCCTCTATTTTTATGTGGGATGCCACCACAGCATGGCTTGGTGAGTAGTGTGCAGGTCCACGCCAGGGATCCAAACCGCAAACCCCAGGCTGCCAAAGCAGAGCCTGCGAACTTAACCACTGCACCACCGGGTTGGCCCCTCATTAAGCCTTTTAGATCTCCAAAGGCAGAAGTCAAGCAGGCAGCTGGATATACGTCTTTGGAGGCCAAGGGATGGTCCTGACTGGAGATACATATTTCAGAGTTATTAGCTACTGGGTGGAATTTAAAGCCATGAGAATGGATGAGATCATCTAGGGAGTGAACATAGAAAAGAGAAGTGTCCAAGGACTGAGCCCCAAAACACTCCAGCATTTAGCAGAAAGGGAACTAGAGAAGCAGCAGGAAGAGACAGAGCAGGAGTGGTCAGAAAGATTGTGGGGGCAGGGGCAAGGACCAGGTAAGTGTTGTGTCATGGAAGCTGAGAGAAAAGTGTATTTCAAAGGACAGAGTGATCAAGTGTGCCAAATACTGCCTGTATGTCAAGGAGGACAAGGCCTAAGAAATCACCATGGATTTAGCAATGAAGAGGTCGCTAGTTTTCTTGAGAAAAACAAAGATTGTATGTTGGTGTTCTATTGATACTTTATCATTTTAAATGTATTTCATGGTCAACTGAGTTTGGGAAGTGCTACAGGGGGCATAAAGCTCTCCAGCACCCTAAGAAGTGGAGCAGTCCCTAGCAGCTACAGGGCATTAATCAGAGTAATCTTTTTTTTTTTGAGGAAGATTAGCCCTGAGCTAACTACTGCCAATGCTCCTCTTTTCTTGCTGAGGAAGACTGGCCCTGAGCTAACATCCATGCCCATCTTCCTCTACTTTATATGTGGGACGCCTGCCACAGCATGACTTGCCAAGCAGTACCATGTCTGCATCCGGGATCGGAACCGGCAAACCCCGGGCCGCCGAAGCGGAATGTGCTCACTTAACCACTGCGCCACTGGGCCAGCCCAAGAGTAATCTTTTTAAAATGAATAAATCAGATAAAATTATTTCCTTGCTCTAATGACTTCCTATTTGCACCTGAAATGAAATCCAAACTCCTTGAAATATTGGGCATCTCAGAGCTTAATCTTGAGTTCTCATCCTTTCTTTCTCTATGCTCTTTCCCCAGGTGATGTCCCAATACCCTTGGATGTAAACGCCATATTTAGCCTGATGACTCCCAGATTTATATCTCTAGCTCAGAGCTCTCCCAAGCCCCACACTCACACATCCTATTGCTTACTTAATATCCTCACTTGAGTGTGATACGATAAAAATTTTACATGACCAGAAGTATTGCTTTTCCCTCCAAAAGTTGTCCCATTGCCACCCCTAGTCTTCTTTATCTTCCCTGTGTCAGTAAATGACACCACCATCTTGACTGGCCAGAAACTTGAATCCTTTCTTTGCAGACCCTACCCACACTGTCCCCACCTGTTCCCATCAAAATCTATCAACAAATCCTGGTGATTTTTTTTCTCTAACCTATATCTCAATTCTGCCCTCTTCTTTCCATTTCCACCACTATCACCCTAGTCAGGAGCCATCATCTCTCTCCTCAACCACTACAGCCATCGCCTCCCAATTAGATTCTCCACCTCCACTCTCGTTCCCCTCAATCCACTCTCCACGTCCAGGCTAAAGTAACCTGAAAACAAACCTGATATGTCTGGTTATACTCTTTCAATGGCTTTCTACTGTGCTTAGAATGAAATGCAAACTCCTCACAATGGCCTACAAGGTCCCATGTTAACAGTCCCTATCTATCTCCAATTTCATGTCGTACTGCTCTCTGCTTTATCCACTATACTCTAGCCATGCTGGCCTCAACCATGCCATGTTCTTTCCCATCTCTGGGCCTTAGAATATACCATTCCCTCTACCTGCTCGTTCTCGCCTCACTCTTCACATGACCAGAGCTTTCTCTTCCCTGGAGTCAAGTGAAATGTCACCTTCTCAGAAAAGCCTTTTCTCACCTCCCTCCCTAAAAGAGGCCCACTCTGTTATTCACGATCTCAACTCTTTGTCTATTTTCTTGTGTGGTATCTTTAGAGCTTGCGATAATCTTAGAGGTTTTTGGGTTTTTTTAAGAATCTGTTTCTTTCACTATAAGCTTCACTGCACAGGGACTGGGTCTGTCTGGTCCTCCAGTTTCTAGCATCCTACTGGGCATGAAGGACACACTCAATAAATATTCGAATGAATGATCTCCAACTTGGGGATCCTTTTGTTTTGGGCACCCAAATGACTCATTTTCTTGTTGTTTGCTTTTTTCTGTGTTACATCTTTTGTCTCAACTCACCTGGATCTGAGGTTCTCAAATGAATTTTAGGTTTTCGAAGCAACCAGGCTGGGAGACCCCCCTGAGACAAACATAAAGACAATAAAGCAGCATTTAGGTTTTGTTGTTTGGGAGTGGAGCAGGGAAGAGAGGGAAGAGAAGAAGAGAGGAAGTTGCGTAGAGGGCTGGAAGTGGCCGGAGAACGTGGGCAGATGGGTGTAGTCTAGGATCCGCACATGGTTGGCTGTGGCTCTATTCCTTCTCCAACTAACTCACCATATCCCACTCTGCACAGATGTAAGGTCCTGGTCTCAGTATGACCAACAGGTTCGCTATAGCTGCCTCATTCAGAAATGCAATGAGGTCCCGGCTGCCATGAAAGTTATAGACCCCAGGCTCTGGCTCATGGTAGTTCCAGGGCACATAACTGAGAAAGGAAGAGGTTAACAGGGCCCACGGTGGTAGGGAAGTGCCAGGGAGGCCCAAGGGCTCAGGCTTTGCAGGGAACCTCTGGGAAGCTGTTGGAAGGAGGTCCCTCGGCCCTTTCCCACACTTGGCCTGGAAGCCCTGGAGCTTTAATCCCTCCTCATACCCAGCCAGTCTTCCTGTCCCGACCCCCTTCTTCCAGGGGTAGTAGGAAGAGTCAATCCCACCCCTCCATGGCTCTCAGGAGCACTTCTTACAACTGCACAGCGTTGAGGCCACTCATTCGCATCTTGAAAAGCCGGTCTGCCCAAAGCACCCGCGGTACCCGAAAGTAGTGCAGGCTGCCAGACACGTAGCGGAACGGGACCCCATCCAGGAGGAATCTGTCATTATCCCGATCCACTACGAACGACCGAGTGTCTGCCTGCAAAGGGAGAGACCATGCTCAGCAGAGGTCTGGAGTTGGGGGTCAGCATCTGCCAAGAGCAGAGGAGATGGAACTAGCCCTGCCCATTGTTTTATGTTCACTTTCTTTCTCTCCTCTGCCAGATCCGATCCCACCTCACCGCACCCAGCCAGCCGGTTCAATCCTCTCATCTTACCTGGGGCAGAAGCAGCGTCAGGAGCGGCAGCAGCAGGGAGGGAAGGCAGGGCGGCTTCTTGGGAGCCATGGCGCTTACAGGGGTCCTGTAGTCAGAGACTGCGGTCCGGCGGTCACGTGGTGGATTCCTGGGCGGGAACTTGAGCGAGCAAGGGGGCGGAGACCACCTCAAATTGCCAGGCAATTAGCCTGGACTTTGTCTCCAGCCTGCAGCCACCCGCGACTCTACTAGTGTGTAAAATCCTCTATATCTTGAACCAGCTTCATCAGCGTCACCTGGGAGCTTGTTAGAAATGCAGAGTCCTACCTCAGACCTATAGAATCAGAATTTGTATTTTAACAAGATTCCTGGGCGACCCTACGCACATTCAAGATTGAGAAGCAGTGCTCTACTAGGCTGAGCTCCCTGAGGATAGGGAGTGCCTTGTCCCTTGAATCCTCAACTTCTAGCCCAGGGCCAGGCAGGTTAAATATAGATGAATGTCAGAATAAGGGGGCTAAAACAGGTTCAGAACCAAGGGAAATTGTAGGAAGAAATTCCCAGTGATGTGAAGTGGGCAGCGGGGGGGCAGGGGGCAGAGGGATGTAGCAGGTTACAAAAGGGATCTTTTTCCTAGAGAGCCCTGTTTCAGTAAAAGAGAACATCTAGCCCATTCCATCTTCTTTGGAAGTGCCCCCCTCTTCCAATTTATCCCTGACTGCCTGGGCAAGAGATATCAAGGACAACTGCCTGGTGCCAAGGCTTGGGAATTTGCCAATTTCCATGACCTCCTGCCTTCACAGTCCCAAGCCTGGGATGTGAGGACCAGGGCAATAATAATTATTATTTCTGTTTATTGACACTTACTGAGAGCTGTGTGTCAGATATTGTGCTAAGCACTTTACATCTCATTTAATCTTCAAATAACTCCACGAGGTAGATAATTATCATTCCCATTTTACAGATGAGGAACCTGAGGGTCGGAAATATTAAGTAGCCTGTCCAAGGTCACACAACTACTTTAGTAGAGCTGGGATTTGAACTAGGCAGTCTGATCTCACTGTTCATGCACTTAATCTTAGGTACTATTATACCTATTTTATAGTTAGGGAAAGTGAGGCTCCCAGAGGTTACGTAACTTGTCCGAGGTCACACAGCTAGTAGGCTGTTAAGACTGGATTTAGACCCTAGTCTGGTTCAAGAGCCTGAGCTCTTAACCACTGAGGTTAGGGTAGTGGGATACAGGTCAGAGCCTCCAAGGTTATATTGATCAGAGCTCCAGGGGTCCAGGCGGCCAGTACCCGCCCCTCCTTGCATCCTCCAGCGCGCCCAAGGATGAAGCCTCCTACCTCCGGCATTGGGAGATGCAGGTCCTGGGGGCCTCGGGCCGAGCCCGGCTTTGCTCCCCTTTGGCGCAGGTGTCTGCGTCTTGATCCCTACTGAAGGCCAGGTGTGGGACCCTCTGCGGGTCCTGGGACCCGTCCTTCTGCAGGCCTAGCCAGCCCCGGACCTGCCAGCTCCACGCCCAGACATCCTCCGGATGCCGGCGCGTTGCTAGGATACCGCGGGCCATTGCGCCAGCGCGGACTGATGACGTAACCGCTGCTTCCGGTCCCTGGTGCTTCCCTGCGGCCCGAGCCCGGTCAGTAGGGAGTCTGGGCTGGCTAACCCCGAACCCTGTGCGCCGAGGCTGGGGGTGGGTTCTGCAAGGGGTGGGTTCTGCAAGGGGTGGGCCCGAGCCTCGCTCCACCTTCCCCCGGAACTACCCTCTGCCCTATCTTTGCGGCCCGACGGGCGTGGGAGCCGGGCCGCCCGAAGGTGGGCTGGTAGTGGAGGAACCGGTCAGGTAGTCGCTGTGTGGCCTGAGGCTTTAAGGCGCCTGACCCCGGGCTTCTTGGAGCTGGCGTCGCCAGGACCCGTTTTCTCTAAGTTCCGAGACCTGGGCCTGAGCTCTCCACATTGAGACCTCAGGGGTCGTCTGGATTGAGCGCGACCCTCTACCCTGCCGGTTTTTTCCTTCCAGCATGATCCACTGGGCCTCCAGGGCATCGCCTGGAGGAGCCCACTCAACGTGGACGCACCCTTTGGCAGCCTCAGACCGGCTTTGAGGAGGATGACTGAGACACTATGGGCCACGCGCTGTGTGTCTGCTCTCGGGGAACTGTCATCATTGACAATAAGCGCTACCTCTTCATCCAGAAACTAGGGGAGGGGTGAGTGTTTGGAAAGTGCTTAGCTGGTCCCCAGGGTGATGGTGATTGAAGGACAGCAGTCTGCACATGATAGGGGCACAAAGGTTTTCTCCTCTAACCTATTCTTTAACTCACCTGACAGAGCCTAGCCACGTGGTAGTCAAGAAAGTGGATTCTGGAGCCAGACCTCCTAGATCCACCTTGTGTGACCTTGATAAACCATGGTTTCTTCATCTGCTTAGCGGAGAGAATTATCTTGTCACTGATGGAACTGTGAGATTTAAATGAGATAATGCATATAAAATGGCTCGCCTAGTGCCTGGTTCAGAGCACTTGATAAAGGTTGACTGTTACTTATTTAATATTTTATTGAGCATCTGTCATGTGCAGAGCACTGTGTTAGGACCATAGGACCTCAGGGATTACTGTGTTCCTGCTCTTGAGCTCAGAGTGTAATAATCTTAAGATGTCTCTTAGAGCCACATTTAGGGAGGGTTTCTACTAATTGGGGAAGGCACCCGCCTCTTCTCCTAGGGACTTCCTCTGAGTCCAAGCAGTGTGGGAGGTGACTTTGGTCCTTCACTGACCCCTTTGGCCCACAGTGGGTTCAGCTATGTGGACCTAGTGGAGGGGTTACATGATGGACACTTCTACGCCCTGAAGCGAATCCTGTGTCACGAGCAGCAGGACCGGGAAGATGCCCAACGAGAAGCAGACATGCATCACCTCTTCCATCACCCCAACATCCTTCGCCTTGTGGCTTATTGTCTGAAGGAGCGGGGCGCTAAACATGAGGCCTGGCTGCTGCTACCTTTCTTCAAGGTCAGAAAGTCTCCTGGCTACAGAGGGGGTTCCAGCAGAGCCAAGGACCAAGGGCTGTGGGAGCAGGCGAGCTTTTTAGGAAGCAGAGGCTGTGTCCTGGGTTTGACCACTTCAGATTTGGGGTTCAGAGGAACCCTAGTGGGACTGTGGGGTGTGTGTGGTGAAAGGGTTGATAGGCTTTTAACATAGGGAAGGGATCGGGCTCAGTGAGCAGAGACTTGAAACACAGCTCCAGCTGTGGGGAAACTTGTGTTGCAGAGAGGTACACTATGGACTGAGATAGAACGGCTCAAGGACAAAGGTAACTTTTTGACTCAAGATCAAATCCTTCAGCTGCTGCTGGGTATCTGCAGAGGACTTGAGGCCATTCACGCCAAGGGTTATGCCCACAGGTCAGTGCGAGGGCCCTGTGTACTTGCTGAGACAGAAGGAAGAGCCTCTCCAAGAGAAATGAGAGGTCTCTGCTCTCTTCCCAAGGAACAGCCCCATGATTCTTGCCCCCTGGGATTTCAGCCTCCCTGTCCAGGGATACTCATGGGTCATTTCCACTTCCCTCCAGGGACCTGAAGCCCACGAATATCTTGCTTGGAGATGAGGGGCAGCCGGTTTTAATGGACTTGGGTTCCATGAATCAAGCATGCATCCACGTGGAGGGCTCCCGCCAGGCTCTGGCCCTGCAGGTGAGAGTCTCCAGGTTCCTTTGCCCACCTGTTCCCCATTCTTGACCTCTTCTGGTGCAGGCCCCAATTTGGTCACATGACCATGACCTGTACCCCACTTTTGAGCTCTGGGGCCACTGTTCCAGGACTGGGCAGCTCAGCGGTGCACCATCTCCTACCGGGCCCCGGAGCTCTTCTCCGTGCAGAGCCACTGTGTCATCGATGAGCGGACTGATGTCTGGGTGAGGAGCGTGTGGGTGGGAATCTGGGTAGGGAGGAATGCTGCTCTGCACCTTTTGTCGGGGAGAGGAGCAGGTCTTTGGTTGCTAGTGCATGGGGCCCCAGGCACCATGTATGTCCACATCCCCCTCCGCTTCCTTCCTGGGAACTGTCACTGTACTCAACTGCTCAGGAAGTGGTAAAATCCCGGGGTACAGTTAAATGTCAGGGCTGAAGGCTGTGACTAAGCAAGGGGTGCAAAGGCCTCCAGCTCACCAGCAGTTTCTTTGGGCCCTGATGGTGCCACATGGCTAAGGTCAATATATACATTTGAGCTTATGTAGTCTCCTTTCACTACAGAATTAAGAGGAGAGGTATCTCCATTGGTCCTCTTCCTAGGAATAACCAAATTATGCTCAGTCCCTAGGCTGCGTGTTATATGCCATGATGTTTGGGGAAGGCCCTTATGACATGGTGTTCCAGAAGGGTGACAGTGTGGCCCTTGCTGTGCAGAACCAACTGAACATCCCGCAGAGCCCCAGGTGAGCAGTTACAGGGGCACCAAGCATTTCAGACTCCTGCCTGACATTCACGGAGTTGGAGCCATAGCACAGGGGACGTGTGCCCTGCAGTCACCCTGCCCTCCTCCCACAGGCATTCTGCAGCAATGCGGCAGCTGCTGGCTTCAATGATGACTGTGGACCCGCAGCAGCGCCCTCACATTCCTCTCCTCCTAAGTCAGTTGGAGGCACTGCAACCCTCAGCTCCGGGCCAGCACACTACCCAAATCTGAATAAACCAGTGGCCACATTGAGAAGGTGGCCCCTGTGCCTTGGAAAGAGGCCCCTATCCTTCATTGCCATCTGTCCACTCTATCCAGGACTGCTCTCTTATAGTTGGGGGCAGCTCAGTCTTCTGTCTCTGCTTCTGCTGTTACCCCAAGAGCAACAACTGAACAGGGGGCCTGACTGAGCTGGGGTAGGAAGGGGGGATGGGAAAAGGGAAACTGATAGAATCTGTCAAGGCTCTCAACAGGACTGCTGAGCTTCCATCATGTCTGCTCCAACTCTGGGAGCAGGAGAATGTATTAATAAAGTGAAAACAGCTTGGTGTAGATCTTAGTCTCATTATTCCTGCAGTGAGAGAAGAGGTACAAGGGGCCCAGAGTCTGGTTGTCATTTCCAGGGGAGCAGCCTGGGAAGAGGGACTGGCATAGAGTCAGGAATGGCATGGCCATCATTCCACATCAGCAGGCAGGCATCCTTACCTTAGAGCTGGCTGGTTGGCGGTGGGCAGTTCTAGTTTGTCTTAGTCAAAAACTTAAAGCTGCTCTGGCTCAAGCTGGCTTCTATGCCAAGAACTGGGACCAGAGCCCCCTAAAAGCACCCTCAACCCATTCTTTCCTTCCTTCAGTCCCAGGGGTGGGTAGCTTAGTCAAAGCAGCCCAGCCGGTTTGCCAGGCAAGGGCTTCTGGGTGGGGACACCTGAGGAAGCTTTGGGACAGCTACGTATGCAATAGGTCTCCCAGCCTTAGCCTGGGGGCAAGAGGAGTGGAGGTGGCAGCCATTTTGGCCCAGTCTCACCCAGATGGTTCTAGCTCACACATGGTTAATGATTAATGAGGCCAGTGTGGTGTGGCAGTATCCAGCTGCCACTTCCTGCCTACTCTGCTGAGTAAACAGGGGCCCTGCCTTTGCTGGGCTTGAAACCTGTTCCCCAGGGAAGGGCACTGCGTCCCTGAATCACCAGGGAGGGGAGGCAAGGGCAAGGTTGGCATCTCCTGCTCCTGAGATTGAAGCTTCTTCCCCCAGCTGTGCACACCCCCACATGCTGATGTCAGTGTGGGCCCTGGGGTGCCTATTAGCAAAGTTGAGATTTTCCCCAGGGTCCTGGCAGGAGGCTCCCACCACCTACGCCGAGGCTGAGGGCAGAAAGAAAGCACAGACAGAGGGGAGACAACCTGACTTTTAATGGCACAGCCCTAGGCCCCAGCAAAGCGGCAAGGCAGACAGTAAGCTATGCAAAGCTGCTGGGAGGTGCGGTGACACACACAACTCGAGGAGATTGCTCTTGTTCCCTCCCATCCCCCAAGCTTATGACTAGGCTCCGTGCCCAGGAACTCTGGCCAGCTCAGCCCCACTCCCAAGCCCTCATCACACACAGAGGTGTCTGGGCCAAGCTTGTTCCCAGAGTCAGTGAATGTAGAAGCTGCAGCAGAATAGGGTAGCAGTCTAACTCTCAAATACAGAAAGTGCTGGACTTTCACTCCTACTTGGAAAGGAAGTGAAGACATATCCTTCAACAGCTTGTGGCGGGACAGACTGGTCCAGGATTCGGTCCTCATTACCTCCCTATCCTGGGTGCCCCTGAGATCTTACATCAAGAGGGTCATGTTTCCTGGGCCTGGCAAGGGCCCTTTGGCAGGTCTCACCTTCAGCCACAGAATGGAAAGGGTCATGAGCAGCAGATAGTGAGGGTGGCGGCAGCAGAAGCAGCACAAAGGGGAAGCAGCAGCAGCTCAAGTGCTCACAGAGGGGACAAGAAACCGTGCTTGGAGACTCTTTATTTTGAAAGGATTCTGCAATAAACATAGTGAGTGGGCTCCAGGCAGCTCTTCTATTCTTCTCCCTCATCCTCGTCCTCATAGGAGTCGATGCCCACCTCCTCGTAATCCTTCTCCAGAGCAGCCATATCCTCCCGGGCCTCGGAGAACTCACCCTCCTCCATGCCCTCACCCACGTACCAGTGCACAAACGCCCTCTTGGCATACATCAGGTCGAACTTGTGGTCCAGGCGGGCCCAGGCCTCGGCGATGGCAGTTGTGTTGCTCAGCATGCACACGGCACGCTGCACCTTGGCCAGGTCACCCCCGGGCACCACAGTGGGTGGCTGGTAGTTGATACCAACCTTGAAGCCCGTGGGGCACCAGTCCACGAACTGAATACTGCGCTTGGTCTTGATGGCAGCGATGGCGGCATTGACATCTTTGGGTACCACGTCTCCACGGTACAGCAGGCAGCAGGCCATGTACTTGCCATGACGGGGATCACACTTCACCATCTGGTTGGTAGGCTCGAAGCAGGCATTGGTGATCTCTGCCACTGACAGCTGCTCGTGGTAGGCCTTCTCTGCAGAGATGACTGGCGCATAGGTGGCCAGGGGGAAGTGGATGCGAGGGTAGGGCACCAGGTTGGTCTGGAACTCTGTCAGGTCCACGTTGAGGGCCCCGTCAAAGCGCAGGGAAGCTGTGATGGAGGAGACAATTTGGCTGATGAGGCGGTTGAGGTTGGTGTAGGTGGGGCGCTCGATGTCCAGGTTGCGACGGCAGATGTCATAGATGGCTTCATTGTCCACCATGAAGGCACAGTCTGAGTGCTCCAGGGTGGTGTGGGTGGTCAGGATGGAGTTGTAGGGCTCGACCACAGCCGTGGACACCTGGGGAGCTGGGTAGATAGAGAACTCCAGCTTGGATTTCTTGCCATAGTCGACAGAGAGCCGCTCCATGAGGAGGGAGGTGAAGCCAGAGCCAGTGCCCCCTCCAAAGCTGTGAAACACCAGGAAGCCCTGAAGACCTGTGCACTGGTCAGACTGAAAGACAAGAAAAAGAGCAATGTGGGTAGGGAAGGCGTCTGAGGAACACTATCTTCTGGTTCCACTAAACCCTAAAATATCTCAGGAGTCAGGGCAAAGATGAGTATTCTACAGCAGCAGCACACTCGAACACATACAGTTAGAAATGACCCCCTGATATGGATCTGGAAAAAACAAACGTTCCTGACCATTAACATCATCTCTAAAGCTCCCTGCCTTTTGTCCCAAATTCTCACCAGCTTGCGGATCCGGTCCAGCACGGGGTCAATGATCTCCTTGCCAATAGTATAGTGACCACGGGCATAGTTGTTAGCGGCATCCTCTTTTCCAGTGATGAGCTGCTCTGGGTGGAAGAGCTGCCGGTATGGGCCATTTCGGATCTCATCTGGAAGGGCATAAACCACATTAGGGCACAAACCACAAGGCTGTGCTCAGCAGGGACCTCCCTCCCCCAGGCTGGTGGCTGCGGTCGGGTGTTTGGAAGAGCTCATCCTTCTGCCAGCCTGAGATACCAGTGTGAGGGAGAAACCCAGACCTGCTGCCCAGACCGGCCTGCGATAAGTTTGCCTTCTTTAGCTTTAAACAGGGGAAGTTTTCAGGGCCAGGAAAGCCAGGTCTAGACCCCCTCCCTCCAGAGAGAAGCTTAGAGACACTCTCCACTCCCCTCAATTCCACCCCCTCTTCCTCTCACCAATTACAGTGGGCTCCAAATCCACAAACACTGCCCTGGGCACATGCTTTCCGGCACCGGTTTCACAGAAGAAGGTGGTGAAGGAGTCGTCCCCTCCTCCAATGGTCTTGTCACTGGGCATCTGCCCATCAGGCTGAATCCCATGTTCCAGACAGTAGAGCTCCCAGCAGGCATTGCCCATCTGGACACCTGCCTGCCCCACATGGACTGAGATGCATTCACGCTGAGGGATAGAGAGAGGGGAAACAGCATAAGCCCCACATCTAAAGTCCTCACCTGATGAGCCTCTCTCCCACCCTATCACCTACCAGCTAGGATGACTCACTTGGCAAAAGTGGAGGTTTGGGCTGGGCTGAGGTCAGAAGAGGCTGGCAGCCTGCCCAGGCTCCCCTGCATTGCACTTCCCAACCTTAGTCTACTACATGGGGACCTTGTCAAGAAAGAGCTGTGGCTCCTCATGACCCTGCCACATTCTCAGGATACTCAGGGAGGACAGAAAGGGCAAATGCATATGAGCAGGGCAGACACTGCAGTAACTGAGACAAGGATGAGTGACTTTCCACCTGTTCCTGACCCTACTCCCACAAACCAGCATCTCAAGAGCCTCAGAAGGCACAGAAGGCTTTCCCAGAGCAGGGAGGTAATAGCTAGAGGCCCCCACTTGGTTAATTCTTTGCTTTGAGGTTGAACAACTAGAATTTCACATTACTCTCCTTCTTTCTTTCCCGTGGGCTCCAGAGGTGTCTCTGCCTTGCAGTCTGGCATCAACTGACCACACTGGCCGTCAGGATGCCGTCTCCCCACCTGTAAATCCCATCTGGCTCTGGGGATCAATCCCATCTGGCTCCTTTCCCCACTTCCACCCCCCACACTCTGGGTGTCTTCACCACCTTCATCAATGCGCAGCCCTCACACAAATAGCACAGATGGCAGGTGCAGGCAATAAGGGGCAGGTGCGGGTAATAAGGGGCAACAAGCATGGTGGGCACTGGGGCACTCGCAGCCCTAGGCTTGACCCTGCCAGTCTGAAATTAACTCCTAAAGAGCCAAAGTGGTTCGGGCGCAGGGGTCGCCCAGCCTCCCTTCCCAACACCGAAATGGCGGGGTGACGGTTTCCAAATACCCAGAAAAGGAAGCGGAACCTGTGGTGAGGCCCCGGAGGTAACCCGCCCTGCCCTGGGTAGAGTGAGCGCCATCCTGCACCCCAGCCCTGCATTCGCCCCCCCCCCCCCCCCCCCCCCCCCC